CCTGATCCAGAATCGTGAAATCTTTTCCAGAGAGTCCAGTGATCAGATCAGCACCTAATTTTCCCAGGGTGGAAACACTGTGGTTTTGTACAAAGAGAGATGACCTGATTGATCATGAACTACCTTCTCGATGCAGCTTGGAATAAATGACTCTAGCTGGTATATGTTTCCCCAAACACAGACAGGGAGCCGGAGAGGAAAAGTAATGTTGGAGGCTGGGGACATTTGTCCCCCAACTCCATCCCTAGCCCCACCCTTAGACTGTAGCTCTCACATCTGTCAGGACCTGGGGTGTCTATTCTAGAGATCTCCCTTGGACAGAGACTTTATGTGAACTTAATTCATGAATGCCCAGACCTGTGCTAGAATCAGAAGAAGAGCTAGGCCTTGGTCCCATGGATTGGACTGCACATGAAATAATTAAAGAGCAGTGCAAGCCTGTGTGGTGTGAAGAGATCTCGTGGTCAAATCTGGGCTATCAGCATTTCGAAAAGGGGGCTCCATAGGTGTGCACTCTACTTATCAGGATGTAACCAGCTCCATGGGTCTGGGGACCTTGGTGGGGACCTTGCTGGATGGGCATTATTTGATTAATCAAAACAGAGCAGCAAGGGCATGGCTGGCCTGAGAAACTCCGTGAATGAGCCTGGAATGTTCCCTCAGGGGACCATGAGGAGACCACTGGGCTTCAAGCCCAGGCTTGAGTTGGGAAATCATGGGAAACAAGGCTGAGTAGGTAGGGTGGGGTCAGACTGTGAAGGACCTTTGGAAACCAAGCAGATGAGTTCGGACTGTAAAGCTTGGCCGAGTGCAGCTGGTATGGCCACAGCCAGATCTGAGTGTGTGCCCTGGAGTAGGAGTTGGCACCAGCTCAGAGGGAGGAGCTGGGCAGAGGCAGGGCCGTGACTGGAACTTCATCTCCCTCACATCCGGTCAGTGGGCTTTCTGCTGCACCCGGCCTAGTTGTTAGCTTTTCGAAGGCTTTCACGTCCACTCCATATAGCTTCCTAACGGGGCCCACGGGGTGGGGGGGGGGAGTAGGTGGTAAAAGCCAGATCACTCTGTGGCTAGTGGTGTGAGGTAAGGGAGACCACTGAGAATATCCACCTGCCTCACCAACCTGCTGGGCTGCCCCACGGTTGCCCCGGAGACACTCTCTAGACTAAGACAAGGGTAGCTCCAGATGGCCTTTTTCAGAGAAAATGTGTTAAAGAGAGAGGCGACACATTAACCTAATATCACTCACTAACACATTAACATTAAATGGTTTGTGATTTTTCAGAGTGGTGGGGAAGTCATTCCTGGGGAGAGGGGATGGTGGCCTGTTACTAGGGTCAGTCACAGGAGCTACGGGTAGCATGAGGTCTGTAGTGGAGAGGGGGGCAGGAGGCCCAAGACTGGGAGAGCCATGTGACTTAGCATGCCTGTGGTTACATAGCCCATTAATGGCAAAATTGCCTTAGCAGAGGTTTTCCAAACTTTCCCACCCAAGTGCCCTAAACTATTGATTTATATCCTAGAGGCCTAGAAGGACACAATCTCATAAATTTCTTTGAAGTGTGGCATTTTATCCTAAGTGCGAATGTTGCAATCTACTGCCTAGATATATTTTCATTGATTTATCAGCAAGCAACATGGAAGCTCCTGAAAGATGCCCTGGGTTGGGACTGTGGCTTCGATTCCTGCTGTGTGGCTTGGTCGGCTTTAGCAAGCAGGCCCTGGCCCTGTGAGACCTGCTTCTGGACAGGTCAGAATTTACACTTTCGGGATCTTCGCCCAAAGTGCAGGAAGGTGTGTCCGTCACCTGCAGTATGTTCGTTAGCCTGCTGTCCCCATCCCTGTCTCCTTCCTTGGTTCAAACTTATTTGATGGAAAAATCTAAGCCCTTGTATCCCTGGGGAAAGTCGTTGGACTTGCTCAGTGGTTAGCTCTGGCCTTATCCCAGCCTTTGGTGTGGGGATCATGAGACTCCAAAGTAGGCATGGATTGGCCGAGGCTCTGCCCACAGATTGCCTAGCCTTTCCCCCTCCACCACAGTCAGCCTGTGGCCCCTCATTCTGTCCCACCTTGAGCTCCGAGTGTTTACAGTACTTCCATTTAGAAAAACAGAAAACCTGCTTGTGCTCTCAGAGCCTACCTAGCCTTGCCGCTGCTCATCTCTTGGTGGTTTGAGAACAGAAGAGCCGTCAAGGCCTCCAGGCCAAAGTTATCCTTCTCAGTGACCCAAGCACCTCATTCCTGTCCCCATAGCCTGCAGATAGAGATGATGACAATGTACAAAGAATGCATGCCCTACCCCCGCTGGGGCAAGGCGGATAAAGCGCTATGAATATTCAGGTTTCACTCTGGCAGGCAGCAAGCCTTCATCCACACCCCTTGCCGGCCAGGGGTGCAAGGGGGGGTTCCAGATTATAGTGCCTGTAGTGATGAAACCACAGCAGGTAGGGCCCTGGGGAGGCTGTCTGGGCTGGGCGGGGCAGGGCAGCCAGCTGGGTGAGGCCCAGATTCCCCATACTGATAAGACAGCCTGTAAACACCCAGCAAGGGGAGGGGGCAGAGGGCAGGCGACCAGATGGCAGGAGAAGGGGGGAACCGGAGCCCAGGGCTAGCGGCAGGAAGTGGGGCTTGATGTGGAAACATCCTGTCCAGCGGGGGCTAGACCAGTGGCCATTAGTGATCACTCCCTCCACCAAGGAGGCAAGTTCAACACAAGGTGGGGCTGCCTGGGCACCAGGCCGAGAACCTGGTACTCCACATTGCCAAAGGACATGATAAATGGGTCTCTGTTATGGGTTCTTCTATCCCTGAACACTGCTGGTGGGGGGAAATCAGGACTGAGCTCCCCACGGGCCAGACCTTGGGGAAACTTAGTAGTGGAATTGTCCAAGAGAATTTGACTCTTACAGGAAAGTCCTGCTCATCACTATCAGTGAGGAGCAACGATTGGAACGCTTAATTGTATCTAGAACCTCCTGCAGCCCTCTGAGAAGCAGCACATATTTGACACGCCTTTCTGTTCCACCTTGTAGGACTTTCTAATTAGAACCTCAGGGGGTCTTGCAGTGCCTGGGTGGCTCAGTGGGTTAAGCTGCTGCCTTCAGCTCAGGTCATGATCTCGGGGTCCTGGGATCGAGTCCCGCACCGGGCACTCTGCTCAGCGGGGAGCCTGCTTCCTCCTCTCTCTCTGCCTGCCTCTCTGCCTACTTGTGATCTCTCTCTCTGTTAAATAAATAAATAAAATCTTAAAAAAAAAAAGAACCTCAGGGGGTCGGAGCTCATGGGGCCTTTCGCAAGGGAGCACCAGACTTACCTGCTTGACTTTTCAGACGGGGACACTGGGATCCAGAGAGGGGCACTTGGCGATGCTCATGGCAGACCTAAATTGAAGCCCCTGGTCTATAGCATTTTCCACTGCCTACCCTGTTGCTTTGGACCCAACCACCAGCCCGCATGCATGCAGGTGGCCCTGCTTTGCACACTCGCTCAGCCTCAGCATTTATCCTTGCTTAGGGCCATGGGAAGGCTGATAGAAGAGATCCTCAAAATCAGAAATTAGACATCTGGAGTGTGGCCTGAACTGCTCTGTCAACTTGCACGTGGCCTTGAGTGAGCTGCTGCCTCTCTCTGGGCCTCATTTTTGTTTGTTTGTTTTAAATAACAGTTTAGTTAGGGGCGTCTGGGTGGCTCAGTTGGTTAAGGGTCCGACTCTTGATTTCATCTGAGATCATGATCTCAGGGTCGTTGAGCTTGAGCCCTGCATCAGGCTCTGCGCTGGGTGTGGAGCCTGCTTAAGGATTCTCTCTCTCCATCTGCCCCTGCCCCCCCAAATAAAAAAATAAAAATAATAATGAATAACAGTTTAATTCAATTTAATTCATTGCCATACAATTCTGTTATATGCTCAAAGTATACAATTCATTGGCTTCAGTATATTCACAGAATTTTACTTCCATCACTACAATGCATTATAGAATATTGTCATCACTCCATAAAGAGACTCTGTACCCATTAACAAGTCACTCCCCATTTTCTGCCAACCTCTAGGCCAAATAAGAGATATTTGGTACAGATATGTTTTGGGGAGAAAAAAACCCAGCAGTCGATTAGGTAGATGGGATAACCCAGCTTACCGGGAACTTAGGAAGAGAATCTACCTTCGTCTACCTCGAGAAGAATAGGGTGGGCCTGGCGATAAGCCCCTGGCCATGGGCCTGCCATCTATGAGGTGCTCAGGGCTGACTTTCCATAAATATTTGAATAAACATGTGAATCAGTACCCCGAGAGATAAGAACCCAGACTAACATTATGTGTAAACTGAGAGCAAGTGTATATTTATGGGGCAGGGCCATGACATGGCCACCCCAGGTCTGGATCCAGGAACTCTCTGGAAATGGTAGGCCCCTTGAGGTGGAATAGAGTCAGCGTCCTTCATCAGCAGAGCTGGAAGCCTCCCATTCCACTTCCCCTTCCTTCATAGCTGGCTCAGCTTGTCACCATTTTAGTGCAGACTTGGCCCAGAATGTTAGGAATCACTTCTTCGATGGAGCTTTGATTGGGATTGAGGCCCTAGAGGAGGGGGTGGGTCACAGACCAGGGAAGCTTTTGTTGAAGGAGCATCAAAGAGGTTCTGAACCTTCAAAGTTGTGTGTTGTGAGCGAGCACTGAGCTAGGGATCTGAGCAAATGTTCACCAGCGTGGGGCCGTGGGGAAGGCATAGACTTTGATATCGAAGGCACACAGCCTGGGTTTGAGTTCTGTCTCATTTATTTATTTATTTATTGAGTAGGAAAACAAATTTTGTCTAGAGGTATGGGCAGATGTCTAGTCTCAGAACTTCTGGAGTTGCTTCTTGGTGCCAGCAGCCTTGCTGACCTTCAGCACGTTGAAGAGCATAGTCTTGCGCAAGGGCTGACACTCACCCACTGTAACAGTGTCACCAGTCTGGAGGTCCCTGAAGTGGGGGACTGGTGTACAGACATGTTCTTGTGGCATTTCTCACAGCGGCTGCACTTTCGGATGTAATGGGAGTAGTCTTGGTGGATGACAGTGGTCCTCTGCATCTTCATCTTGGTCACCAGACAGAATCTGCCTTCAGGTGGAGACATTAACAGTAAAGAGTCATTTCTTTTTTTTTTTTTTAAGATTTTATTTATATATTTGTCAGAGAGAGAGAGGGAGAGAGAGCGAGCACAGGCAGACAGAGTGGCAGGCAGAGGGAGAAGCAGGTTCCCTGACGAGCAAGGAGCCTGATGTGGGACTCAATCCCAGGACGCTGGGATCATGACCTGAGCCGAAGGCAGCTGCTTAACCAACTGAGCCACCCAGGCATCCCTAAAGGGTCATTTCTTACCAGCATAGTCACCCTTAGTGGCCTCCTTGGGCATCTTGAAGCCCAGACCAATGTTTTTGTAATATCGCAGGACTCGAGTTTGTTCTTGCCAGTTTCTCCAAGCAGGACCCTCTTCTTGTTTTGAAAGACGGCCAGCCACATTTGGTAGGCACCCCTCTGTTCGAATATCCACCATCTTCTCCACCGTCTGAGAAAAGGTCTGCTTCCATTCTTGACGGGCGGTGTGACCTTGGTCATGTTACCTAATCTTTTCTGAGCCTCACTTCTGCTGTTTTTAAAACGGAACTATTAAAACAGGATTATTACCAAAAGAGATTTCACTGCAAACAAAGTTCAGAGAGCGTAGTAGTTGGAAATAAACCTAGGTTCTGTCCCCAGCTCTGCCAGTGACTAGCTAGCTACTTTGTAAGGATGTTGTAAGAATTAAAGGAGATAGCCGAGATGAAGTGCTTGGCACACCGACCCCACAGCTTGTACCCAGCAAGTATAAATCTCAGCCACCTTCCCTGCGCGCCACCCTGTAATTTTTTTTAAAGATTTTATTTATTTATTTGACAGATAAAGATCACAAGTAGGCAGAGAGGGGGAGGGGAAGCAGGCTGTCCACTGAGCAGAGAGCCCGATACTGGGCTCCATCCCAGGACCCCGAGATCATGACCTGAGCCGAAGGCAGAGGCTTCAACCACTGAGCCACCCAGGCGCCCCCACCCTGTAATTTTTACAGTTTGGCCCCTTTCCCCAGATGCAGAGGGAACAACTTGAAGTGCTATCAGAGGGCACAAAAGAAAATCTTACCCACATTTACACAATACCCACACCCCTCTGCTCCTCCCCCAACGGGTCCATGGTGAGGCCACAGTGGCCACACCCACTATCCCAGGCCCAGCACTAGCTCAGATCTGTGCCAGCCCCACAAGCACTTGCCCTGAGCTGGCACTGATCTCAAGTGCTTCCACCCCCTCCACCCAGACTAGATGCTCTTTCCAAACACGTGCCACCAGCTTTGAGTCGGGCTTGTAACCAAACCCTGGCCCTGGGTTTGCACTCCAGATGTAGGGAGGGGCTGGCAGAATCCCAGGTGCATATCCAGATGTTGTCTCCAAGGCCTCCTTGGTGTCCCCCATGCCAGCTGTGAAGCAGTATTTACTCCAAATTGCAGGGCTGAAGAAGCAGGACTGTGTGGGGCCCTATCACTGGGGCACTGGGTCCTATTTGCCCTGGGAGGGGTGTGTGGAGGGCGAGGGGATGGGGAAAAGAGAGACTTTGTTCTCGAGACAGGAGGCCTGCCTGGGCAGGGCTCTTGGCCTAAGTCGCAAGAGGATGACCTCTAGAACCGAGAGGTATCAAGACCATCTTCCCATTCATTTTTTGTTGGCTCACCCAGTACCATCATGTCTAGGGGTCCCCTTAGCTTCTCCTACTGCTTCTTGGACCTCACGGAACAATATTACCATAGGGGGACCAGAGAGATTGTGTCTTTCCACTCCTAGGCCCCCATCCCAGGCATCAGGGCTTCTAGAACTATTACCATGTAATTGTAACCTGTCCTTAGGAGGACCGGCAGCTAGGGAGAGGTCCAGGGCCTCAGGCTTCTATTGCTCCTCTGACCCTTTGCCTTGGGAAGGCCTGGCAGAGATGGTCACATGCCTGCAGGATCCCTGTCGGGCACATAGCCCCAGTGCTAGGAGCTCCAACCTTGCAAGGGCAACTGGGAGGTATTTACAAGTGCAAGTCACGACACTGAATCACTAGCAGCTATGGAATGTGATAGCTTCCTGTTCCATCACCCAGAAAATGCCGCTACCCTTGACCCACATGTACTGTAATACTTTGCTCTCCATTGTTGTCTCTGTCCATTGGTGCTGAGGACAAAATTATGCAAAATTGTCAAGTGGCATTGCTTTCAGTGTCACCTGGCCCTCCCAGTTAACGCTTACAGTCGGCCTGCTTTCCCCCAGGCTCTTGCCACAGTCCATCCCTCCATCCGGAGCCACCCGGGGCTCATCCTCAGCCCAGGTGGACATTGCCCTGAGCACACAGTCCAGTCTTTTCGTCAGTCCTGGAAGGCCAGGCTCATTCTGCACCCGCCTCCTCAAGGCGGTAGCTAAGTAAGGTGATAAACCCACTTCTCATCCTCTAACTGGAGAGGGTTTGGCGGAGACAGCCCCAGCTCCTTCCCAGTCCCAAGTCCCCCAACCCAGGCAGGCTGGCAGTGGAGCTGTTGGGGCGTCCCCTTGTGTAGACAGCTGTCTCCTCAGCCTTCCTGTGAGGGATCGTCCCCCCTCCCCCGCAGGGCCCCTCCCCTCTCTGCACTCTCTGACCTGTGTGGGGCAGGGGCGGGGCAGGAGGGCCTGCAGGCCCTGAAGGGGAAACTGCTGAAACCCCTGGGACAGGAAGTGGCAGAGAGGGGCTGTTTCCTCTGGCAGAGCAGGGGTGCGGTGAGAGCTGGCCCTATCCCCTACTTGACTGCTTGTCTGCGTGGGTCCTGGGAGGCTGGGGAGAGCTGAGCGCCCTTCTTTCCCTTGGCTCCGCCCCCACAAAAATGGATGCTTCTGGCCCACCAGGTCAGAGGGGCTGGGGAGGGGGGATGGCTCTCAGAGGAAGCCATCTCTATTTTGATGGGAGAGGACTTTAGAAAGAAGGGCAGACAGGTCAGCGAGAAGGGAAGGGTGGGGAGGGGCAGGTGAGTATGGGGTGAGGGGGGGCCCACAATGGCAACGGAAAACCACAGTTGGGCAGGGGAGCCTTCTGTAAGCTCTTACTCTGAGAGAAGATCATCAGGACTGTGTCTGCTCAAAACTGTGTGAGTTGGAAATGCAATAAATTGCTGACTGTGACTCATACAGCTAGAAAGGGCCTTAGACCATCCAGTCCGACCCCCTCACTGGGCAGCGGAGGAAACTGAGGCCCACAAAGCTGAAATGACTTGCTCAAGGTCCCAGCATGGGCAGAACCCAGCCAGGATTTTCTTTCTGATGAAAATCTGCCCAGTTTGTGTTTGGTGTTCACGCGTCCTTCCTGGTGCTCCTGAGTGCTCCATGACGTTCTTCTCAGAAATGAGCTTAATCAATCTATTCACACTGGAGGGGAGTGAAGCCTTTAGTCCAGGAGCCAGTAAACTTTTCCTGCAAATAGACTGTAAATATTTTAGGCTTTGTGGCCCATAGGGACTCTGTCACAACTCAACTTACAATGCAAAAGCAGCCAGAGATGATAGGAAAACGAATGAGCATAGCCGCATTCCAATAAAACTTTATTTGTGGACACTGAAATTTGAACTTCGAATAATTATCATGTGGGATGAAATATTATTTGTCTGTTTATTTTTTTGTCCTAGTCATTAAAAAATGTAAAACCCATTCTTAGCTCATGGGCCATCCAAAACAGACAGTGGGCTGGATTTGGCATGCAAGCCCTAGTTGGCCAATCTGTACTTCAGTAACTAAGAAGTAAATCTAAGGTGTCGGGAGGAGGGGGAGAGAATATACTTGTTGGGGAGGAAGCAGGTAAGGCTGTGAAAAGGAGGTGACATTTGCTTCAGATCTTGACCACTGTGTGGGAATTGGAGCTGCAGAAATTGGGGAAGGGCACAGCAGGCCTAGGGCATGGTGTGAACAAAGGCACGGAGGTGGGGAAGTTGCTGCAAAAGTTAAATGTGTTCTGCACATGTGTGGCTTCATTGTTATTTGCCAGCCCTGGGTCTTTGGCTGCTGTCTGTTCTCACCAGAGGAAAGGGTTGGCTGTATTGAGGACACCGAGAGACAGTGAAGAGGGGAAGAAGAAAGGTCACCTGGGAGTCATAGCAACTGGCTGTGTGAACTTGGGCAAGTCATTTTTCCTCCCTCGGGAGCTTGGTGTTTGCAGTTGGATGATAGGATGGATAAATGCCATGATCTTTCAGGTCCCTTTTAACTTTGATATCCTAGGACTCTGAGTTAGGAAGAGGCTTTGAGTAGTGTGGGTGAGGGGGAAGGAGGAACCCCAGGAGTCTGTGGTGACATCAGAGCTGAAGCTGCCCACACCCTGATGGGCTGTCTTTCCACCTCTGTCCTGCACGCTCCCTTGCGTGCAGGCAACACTGGATGGTCCTTTGCTTTTGTTGGCCTGGGAAGTGGCCTGTGGTGGTGGGGCGGGTGTTGGGGGATGGGCATTTGGAAGGGACACCCAAGCAGGCAGCGAACCCAGCCCAGCCCTTGCCGTCTGGGGGATTCCCAGACCTGAGCAAAGAGCCTCCGCATCAGTTTCTAGGACACGGGCTGGCAGGGGCCTTGACAAAGAACACTGTCCCTTCAATAAAAGTTATCTGACTTAATATCCTGTTGGTGCCAAGTCACAGATTAGCCCAGCTTCTAAAAAACCCACTAATGAATTTAATTAGTCTCTGGTCAGTGTTTCTTTTTTTTTTATTTTAAAGATTTTTATTTATTTATTTGACAGAGAGAGAGAGATTACAAGTAGGCAGAGGGAGAGGGAAGCAGGCTCCCCGCTGAGCAGAGAGCCCAATAAGGGACTCAATCCCAGGACCCTGAGATCATGACCTGAGCCAAAGCAGAGTCTCAACCCACTGAGCCACCCAGGTGCCCCCTGATCAGTATTTCTGTTACCCCTCTCCCCCTGCCAATGGAAGCAAGCAGGCCTTCCTGGGGGCAAGGGTGGGGTGTGTACCGTTTGAGGCCACCTTTCATTCATTACATGCCACTTTCTGCCACAGTCTTG